CAACGCTCCCACAACGGGACACACTATCGAATCAACGTTGTTTCATTGCAACATTGCGGTACCATAGAATCCCCCTTTTACACATCGTTGTGGCAACATAGCTTTGTTGAAAAATCAACCAACTCTTAATCTTGAGCAGACGTTGTTGGGGAAAGGGTTGGGTTGCCAATTATGGAATCTTGCTACGTAGAATATCGTTGTGGCTGAATTGTATGTATGTGGTGCATGTTCATGACCCATTATATTCCGCTTTTAATTCTGTCTAACTGCTACCGTACGGCACCGATTTCCTACACTTGACTTCTCATCAAATCTCAGACTTCATAGTTGTATTGAGAAATGTCCGTCATCACCCGCGGAAGTATTAAAATATCGGCTGTCGGCATTAACACACGCTTTACTTCGGTTTTTGATGGTTTTTTCTCGGAACGGATAATGGGAAATGAAGAATCGATCCCATGACGACAAGTGAGACTAGGCCAGGCTGAATGCGAAGTCCCATTGCAGGCTTGGGTCCCACGGATGTTCTACTCATTCTGCCCAACAACGTTGTGTTAACATTGACAATAAGTTGAAACGTTGAGACAGTATTGAAGAAATGAGTTGCATAATTCAAGAACTACTCCAATTCTGATCCAGTTTAGCAAGTTACTCGGATGGAACCTTCCATGGTATAATTGCACTCATTAAAGTAATTTCAACATCTAATCAATAATAACGCGCGTTTAGGCTCAGAAAAAGAAGGAGTTAATGACTTGCCTTAACACGTGACGTAATTGCCTTCGTGCCAATTACGTCACGTGCCCCATATTTGTGCCAATCATGGGACACATGATTCTAATTTCAACGTTACTGTGCTTCTTTTCAACATTGCAGCAACATGGAATCCAGTCATGAATGAGAGATACACTATCTCAAGAATCCATTATAGGTATTGTGTTAACACTGACTGAGGCTAAAATAATAAAACATGGTTTAATTTGAAAGTTAATTATAAAAAAAATAGGAATCAGGTAATCCGGTAGAAAGAGACTCCAGGCAATTGCCCATAAAATCCCAAGACACATGACGATTATGCCTACCTCACTTAGCAACGCATTGAATGACTCGGACATAAATAGCTCCTCGCATCTGAGGAAACCCTTTATATTCGTATTCATCCAAGTGAGATTCAGCGTTGGATCAATATGAACTCCCTTTCGTCAATATAGAGTAGTAAACATAAATGCCGGTCTGGGTATCGTGTTCACCCTTACGAAAATGTATTATAGGATTCCTATATATTCCTTTAGGAATATATAGGAATCCTATAGGAATCATATAGGAACCTAAAGGAAGCCCATAGGAACCTAAAAGAATCCTATAGGATCCAATATGCCCCATAGAGTTCAGTTTTGGACCTATAGATTCCCTATAGGACCTAAAGAGTTCTGGATAGGACCCGATGGGTTCCCTTTAGGGTCTATAGGGTTCCCTATAGTGCCTACACGGAACCCTATAGGATCTATAGAGTTCGGTTTGAAGTTCTCCTCTCGGCCACTAGACTATTAGGTTCTCACATTTCTCAAAGGGCAGAAAAGTGCCCTCCCCTTACTCAATAAATCATCTCTCAATCTCTGAAATCATCAGAGGGTTTTGTAGGTCCCCAAATGTCTCGCCTTGCCTCATTGTAACAATCAATGAACTTCGACAGTTCCTTATTTGTCATACCCATCTTCCAGATATAAGCATGGAGTCCCGTGAAGAAATATACCCTTATTCCTTTTGAAAACCACGTACGAAACTGAGTAGACTCTATCCAAATGGAGTTTCAATAAAGAGACGTGCTCGCAGGTTCTATCTTCTACTTGCGTAGGTCGAGAGAAGAATACTACTTCTTCCTACCGTAGGAAACAGACATGCATTACAGCGACACATGTGGGGCGGGGCTAAACATCATGCAGACCCCCCGCAGGACTGGTATTAATAATGCATGTGTCCCTACCATGGAAAAACCCCTAATCGGTTTTTTATTTACACAGAAATGCTGCGCCAATATTAACCCCTGTTGCCTTTTCTGTCGTAATGCCTGGGTTTCAAAAACCCAAATATCCTCCCTGAATCCTATAGGACAGGAGGCCAATGAGCCCCTACAGGGAAACTAAGAAATCCTAAAGGATCCTATAGGTTTTTCGTGTTTCAAAAACCTATGGGAAAGCCAATAGGTTTCCTATAAAAAATAACTAAAGGTTTGTGTTGAAATATCTCCACCAAGTCAGATGCTCGCGAGAACTTTTCTTTTTATATTTGCTATAAGTCCAGCATTTTTCTTGAAAGAAATGCATTCTGTCCAATTGGCTAAACATGCAAGATCGCATGAGTTGAGAAGCCTCGGGACCTGTGCTGTTTTTCGTGAACACCAAACGTCTTGAGAAATGTGCGAACTCTATGGGGCATATTCGATCCTATAGGATTCTTTTAGGTTCCTATAGGATTCCTATAGGATTCCTATATATTCCTAAAGGAATATATAGGAATCCTATAATAAATTTTCGTAAGGGTGAACACGATACCCAGACCGGCATTTATGTTTACTACTCTATATTGACGAAAGGGAGTTCATATTGATCCAACGCTGAATCTCACTTGGATGAATACGAATATAAAGGGTTTCCTCAGATACGAGGAGCTATTTATGTCCGAGTCATTCAATGCGTTGCTAAGTGAGGTAGGCATAATCGTCATGTGTCTTGGGATTTTATGGGCAATTGCCTGGAGTCTCTTGCTACCGGATTACCTGATTCCTATTTTTTTTAGAATTAACTTTCAAATTAAACCATGTTTTATTATTTTAGCCTCAGTCAGTGTTAACACAATGACCTATAATGGATTCTTGAGATAGTGTATCTCTCATTCATGACTGGATTCCATGTTGCTGTAATGTTGAAAAGAAGCACAGTAACGTTGAAATTAGAATCATGTGTCCCATGATTGGCACAAAAATGGGGCACGTGACGTAAGTGGCACGAAGGCAATTACGTCACGTGTTAAGGCAAGTCATTAACTCCTTCTTTTTCTGAGCCTAAACGCGCGTTATTATTGATTAGATGTTGAAATTACTTTAATGAGTGCAATTATACCATGGAAGGTTCCATCCGAGTAACTTGCTAAACTGGATCAGAATTGGAGTAGTTCTTGAATTATGCAACTCATTTCTTCAATACTGTCTCAACGTTTCAACTTATTGTCAATGTTAACACAACGTTGTTGGGCAGAATGAGTAGAACATCCGTGGGACCCAAGCCTGCAATGGGACTTCGCATTCAGCCTGGCCTAGTCTCACTTGTCGTCATGGGATCGATTCTTCATTTCCCATTATCCGTTCCGAGAAAAAACCATCAAAAACCGAAGTAAAGCGTGTGTTAATGCCGACAGCCGATATTTTAATACTTCCGCGGGTGATGACGGACATTTCTCAATACAACTATGAAGTCTGAGATTTGATGAGAAGTCAAGTGTAGGAAATCGGTGCCGTACGGTAGCAGTTAGACAGAATTAAAAGCGGAATATAATGGGTCATGAACATGCACCACATACATACAATTCAGCCACAACGATATTCTACGTAGCAAGATTCCATAATTGGCAACCCAACCCTTTCCCCAACAACGTCTGCTCAAGATTAAGAGTTGGTTGATTTTTCAACAAAGCTATGTTGCCACAACGATGTGTAAAAGGGGGATTCTATGGTACCGCAATGTTGCAATGAAACAACGTTGATTCGATAGTGTGTCCCGTTGTGGGAGCGTTGAAATTTCTATGTTTGGGCATTACATCCCCTAGTTTTAGCCTTCACGCACACTAATAATGAATATCGAGAGTACTCTAATGATTGTTATTCCACGGAAGGGTGGTTGTACTTTCCTAACTGGATCAAAAATCGAGTTTAGTACTTGAGCAACACAATTAATTCTGTCCAGCAAGGGAGTTACGTGCCTGGCATCATCCCCTATTTCATCTCCCATGCAGGAGGAAAGTTCAACACACTCTCGCAGGCCGTTAACGTACTGCCATTCTCGAAAGAGATACGAAAGAGATATCAGAGACGGAGCCATTTGGTGCGCTGTGAACGTTGGAAATAGGATCACGTTGTGCCAATGATGTCACATGTCTTGGTTTGGGCATTACCTCCTCACTTTTCTGAGCCTAAGC